GGATTAGAACCTACCTGAACACACACAGGTAGAGGTAACAAACTGGAGTGACTCATATACACAGGCCAAAAGCTTAAGAAGAGATTTGGGCTGGAGGTGACCTCTTGACACCCATCTGTCTACATTTTAAAACCAACATTGTAACTGAGGTTGCCCAGAGAGAATATGTGATAGGATTAAAAAGTGAGCCAAGGATGAAACCCTAGAGAAAATCAATGTTGGAGGAGGGAGGAGTTTGCAAAAGAGAACCAGGATGGTTGATTATGGAAGCCAAGGGGGTAAGAAGAACGTGAGAACTTCTTAGATACAGCAGTGAGATCCAATCGAGAGGGTTAGGACTCCCAAACCATTCAAGCCAGCACTTTCCAACTGTAGTATCTGAAATTCATCTTATAAAATGAAACATAATTCCTGACATATCTAATATAAATGTAAACCAAGACCTTGACATTGGCTCCACAGGAAACATCTGTGAGTATTCAAATATGACTCTGCAGTTATGACGCTGTACAAGGATCTAAGCCGTTCCTTTGAGGCTTCACCAAGCACGCTATAGGTGGCTGAGCTCCAAGGGAACTGAGCTCTATCTCTGTTCATATTTGCTTACAAAATTAAATCTATGGTCACCCTGACAGCCTCTGCCCAAAAGACGGCATGTCTGTTTTGCAGAAAATACTCAACCTGGTGCAAACTACCAAAAATCCAACTCTCTGGAAGCATACCAGCCCCACACATTCATCCCCTTGGTAACGTGGCCACAGGAGGAGAGTCACCGAGAAGTGGAAAGCTCATCACCATTTGCCTCTTGAGTCCCATTTTAAAAAGCTCCATCTAGAATGTGAATTCTGGGTGTCTTTTTCCTTCAAAGACAAGAACAACAGCGGCCACACTGCAAGTTGTGAAGGTAACATGAACAGCAGCCTGCATTAACGATGTACAAGAAAAGGCATATTTTATCGCCAAGTAAATCCTGTGCTCCTTTTGTTTTAGAGGGGAAAAATGAGCGACAATCAGCACTAATGAAATCCAATGGCCTTGCCTTCAGTATCAATGCAGAGTCAATATTCAGTGTCACTGCACCACGGCAACAGGGACTGCTGACCAAAAGTGCTGTTCTCCAGGCGACTTAATGAGTTGGCACAATCAGAACTCAGCATTATTGGGACTGTTCAGTATGCAAGCTTCTATCTGCTACAAGCAGCCAGTAGCTAATAAATTCATTCCCTCTTCCTCTCTCTTCTCCCTTCTCCCTCTCTCTCATTTCCCCAGGATAACTTCTATAGTGCCAACACCTAGGGCTCCATTATAAAAAATATTAATGTACCAGCTATGTTGAAGCAAATCTGAGCACAAAAAGACTTAGTCACTTTCAGATCAATGAAGAGATGAAAGATAAACATTGTAAAGTTCCCAGATGTAAAGTAAAATTGAACCAGGTGAGGACATTTCAAGTAAATCAGAATCAAATCTAGTGACAGCTGGAACGGTGGGCTGTAACCAAACCATAACAGATGACAGGGATGATCTGCCTGGAAAAACTGAGTCTTAAGCTAGACTCGAATATCCCTCAGGGAAAAAACCAAAATGGAGCCCCAGAAAAGTGTTCTAACAAGGTTTGGTCTGATGAAAGGGAACTGACACAACTGTTGAGGTGCCTGGAATTTTCCTTCTATTCCATATCTGAGTGTTCTGCAAACCTCATTTGTCCCCACCTTTAGGCTATATCAGGAAGTTATTGCTCTGTCCTCATCTCACTTACTACCCTGGATTCCTCTGTCCTTGAATCTCGTCATAAAATGGCAGTGGTACCCTGCTCCCACTCTTGTCTCTCCTCACACTATTCTATGGCAAACTATCAATGTGACTAAACTAAAGTCTGATTGTATTAATTCCTTGGTCCACACGCTCCAGTGTCTTCCCATTAGACTTAGAATGAACCCCAAAGTCCTGACCATGGCCTACAGACCCCTCGGGGCTCTGGCGCTATGACCCTTTTCCACCTTATAGTATACACCATGCTACCTTTGTTTTAGTCTCATGGACCTCCTTGCTGCTCATGAAGAAGTACAAATGCTTGGAGAACAGCAAGCCTATGTACTTTCTGTTCTCTTTTTCTAGAACATTTCCACCCAAATATCCACATGGCTTATTCCCTTACTTCATTCAGATTTTACTCAAAGGTCATTTCTTCACTGACCTTTTCTTGATAATGCTACCCAAGTCAGCACTCACTGTCACTTTAGGTCCTTCCTATGCTTCAGTTTTCTTCTCACCACTGGTATGATATGATTTGTCCCCCAAAAGCTCACGTGCTGGAAGCGTGGCCCCAGTGAAGTGGTGTTAAAATAGTGGAAATTTTAAGCGTTATGGCTTAGTAGAAGGCATTGGGGAGAACTACTGATGATCTCTCAGATGGGTTAGTTCCCACAAGCGTGTATTGTTAAGTGACACTTTGGCTTCCTCAATACAGTCTTTTACTTCCTGTCTTGCCATGTGATCTCTCCCTCTTGTATGCACTCCCTGTATGATGCCATGCACCAGCCACTAGAAGGCCCTCACCACAGCTGAGTAGATGCCAGCACTATGCTCATGGGCTTTCAAACTGTGAGCTGAATAAACCTTCTTTCTGTCAAAAAGTATCTAGCATCAGATATTTTGTTATAGCAATAGAGAACATACTAAAACATCACTTCTCAATATCTTATTTCATTACAAAGTTCGTTGTTCACTCTGAAACTTAAGTCTAAAGAAGGAAGGCCTTCTTTTGTGCCCACTCTGTGCCCAGAATATGGAACAGTATCCCATACATAGCAGGTTCTCAATACACTTGTGTTGAATGAAGGAATACGCAAGTAAATACAAGTCCCAATTCTAACAACAAAAGCTTTTGTGATCTTAGAGAAATCACTGGTCTCATCCATTAGACAAGGAAACTGGACTGCAAGGTTGCTAATTTCCATGTCATTCTAAAACCCTAATATTTCCTTAATAAGCATGTCAACATCACAAAGTGTTTGGGAACTACCATTCAATCACTATAGCTCATGTTTGCTGTAAATGATATTAATAGTTTGGGTGTACATTAAAACCACCTTGAGTATCGCATACTTTATATTAATTTCCTTTTCTATGGATTCACAAAACTTTAACATATTCAGTAAATCTCCATTTCAGTATCATGATTTATACATTTATATGTTTATAGCCACTCTGAGATCGGAAAGAATTTTTTTTTCTGTCTGTCTACTTAGTACTTTGCCCTTTTCAACACTGTCTCAGAAACTTGTTCTGGGGCTGAGGATATAGCTCAGTAGTAGAGCCTAGTATTGGGAGAGAGTAGTAATGGGAGGCCCTAGGTTGATCCCCAGCACTGCAGAAAGAAAAAAATTATAATCAGAGCCCTTAGAGACCCTATAGGTGAGAAAATTATACCAGTAGGGTTTCCAAGTGGTTTCTGAACAGTCTTGAAAAGAATGTTAAAACAGACAAAGAAACATATATGGATTTGGAAGAGAATTAACATCAATTAAAATATACCATATATTTTATATCATATGACTTTTATCTAGATTTTTATTTAACTTAAAATACTTGCCTTTTACTTCCAAAAGTGAAAACTATTTTTAGAAAATACACAGCTCAAGTGCAGACTCAACACGCAAACTATGAGTGTCACGGGTTATCCCAGACAAGAAAAATTCTTTCCACACTGACATTTAACTTAGAGATTGAAATGGAATATTGAACAGCTTATAAATCTGGTTATCTTTCTTTAAAAATTGTTTCATCAAAGGATGAGACCATTAGATACATATCACCAACATTCTTGTAAAGATATTTTGGAAAGAACAATTTTTTTTTCCATGAATCAACTCATATCAAGGAATTTTCTGACTATTAGCCAAACTGAAAACATTCTGGAGATGATTTGAATTTTTCCAAAGGAAGACAGTTTCCAAATATTTGATGTTCCTTGAACTACACGCCTGGGCAAATAGTTTTATTTCAATGCAACCGTGCCTTTAACATCAGAAAATTTTTATTTTTATTTTTTGGGGGACTTCAGAACAAAATAAAATATTTCAATGCCCTATTTTAACAACAAAAATTTTTATAAGAAACGAAATTATAAACTAATCTCCCTCATAATCACAGATACACAAAAACACCACTCAAAATTTTAGGAAACTGAGTCCAGTAATATTTAAAATATTATCATGACCAAGTTGATTTTCTCTCATACTAAGATGGTAACATGCTGAAATCAGGAATTTAATTTCTCACCTTAACAGTCTAAAAATCAAATAACCATCTCAATAACTGCAGAAAATATACTAGATAAAATACAACATTTATGATTGAAGGGAAAGTGAGTATAAAAGGTCACTTTTCCCCCCATTATTAGATTATCTATGGGAAACATCATACTTAATGATTAAATGCTGAAAATTTCCCTTTGAAATCAGAAGCAAGAGAAAGACACCCACAATCTGCCCTGCTATTCAACATTAAACTGGGGAACTGGCTAGTGTGGCAAGAGACAGGTAAATGAATGTTATCAATATTCAAAAAAAAAACAACAACAAAACTCTCATTATTCACAATGGTTTGATTATAGTCATAGAATATCCAAAGATATTTACAGATCAGCTGTATGGGAGAGTTTAACAATGTAGAAAAATCAACTAAATTTCTGAATAACATCAAACAGAAAATCAAATCCTAAAAAAGATACCATTTGCAACAGTATCTAAAAATACAGCAGTGCCTAGCCAAAAAAAAAAAAAAACAAAAGATAGGCAAAGCTCTAAAGGAAAAAAAACTATAAAACTTCATAAGACATGTAAAAAGACTTAAAGACTTAATATAATAAAAATGCGGGTTCTCTTCAGATTAATTTACAGATTCAAGGCAATCCCAATCAAGTTTACAAAATTTTATGTGTATGTGTGCGGGGCTGGAGGAGGAGTATGGAACTTGGCTCTAAGTTGATCCTAAAATTGTAAGTGAAAATCCGAAAGAGCCAAGTATAGTCAAGACCCTTGAAGAACATGAATGCCTTCTCTGACATTAAGATCCATTTATAAAGACACAGTAATTAAACTGGGATGATACTGGCACAGAATAGATAAAAGGGACAGATCAGAACACTCAAACACACCGGCACTTATAAGGATATGTGATAGATCACAGGGTAGAAAAGACAGTCTCTTCAATAAATGAAACTAGGACACTGTCCGTGTAGAAAAAAAAAATTTGGCTCTTTGCCTCATACTGCACATAAAAATTAAATTCAGATGAACTTTAGACCTAACTGTGAGAGATTAAATGCCAATGTTTTTAAAATTGAATATAGAAAATATCTTCATGACCTTGGGGTAGAAAGAGGTTTCTTAAACAAGGCACAAAAACTACCAACCATAAAGGGATAGGTTAATAAATTTGACAACATCAAAATTAAATTTTTCTGTTCATCAAGAAACACCATAAAGGAATTTAAAAGACAAGCCCCAGAATGGGAGAAGAGATGAGACTTACATATATAATTAACAGACGACTAGGATCCAGAATGTTAAGGAATTCTGCGAACAATTCAGAAAAGGCAGACAACACAGAGAAAAATCCATTTCACAAATGAGGAAATCCCTGCAGCCATAAACATGAAAGAATGATCAGCCTCGCTAGTAAATGGAAAAAAGCAAAATGAAAGCACAAAGCCATATGAGTACACACCCTTGTTTTAGCAAAAACAAAAAGGTATGACGATACTAAGTGTTGACAAGGATATATGGCCATTTTGGAGCACAGTAGAGGTGAAGAAACACATACCCAGATCCAGCAATTCCTCTTCCAGGTCAGTATAGAAATGCACCTTTGTACATGCTGGGATGCAGGCAGCACCTTGATTCTCCAAACTGTTAACCGAAGAGTGATAAGCACAAGGTTCATTCAACAGAATACCCGGCAGCAACTCTAATAAACTATAGCTTCACAGAGCAACATAAACACTTCTTACAATAACTTCATACAGAACAAAGATGCAAGACTCAAAAGAACATGTACAGTCTGACAACATTTATATATAATTCAAAAACAAGCAAAACTAAATGATATCATTTGCACAGTACTGCAATTATTTTTTAAGCAAATGCATTGTTATCATAAAAATTAGAGGAATAGCTTCCATGAAAGAGGAAGGGAGGGAGGTTAGGACCCATGGATGACATTCTGGATTACTCAGGTGTTGACATTCTCATTATTCATGAGCCTATATAGTTATGGTTTTTTTGTACATATGTGGTATTTTACAATTAAAATGACTAAAAAGGTGAACATTTTAGGGCTTGATTTGGGGATAAATGTTTGATTACCATAAACAAGCATGGTAAGATCACAGAATGGTAAGAAACACACTGAATATCACATTTATTAGCTCATCTCCCAGTGGGCCCCACTGGGCTTTTTGCTTGTGAGCCCTGCTCTCCACCCTAGAGCCTATGAAAAAATCCAGCTGAGTGTTACTTTCATCTGTTGCTCAAGCCGGCTTCGTTCAGCTGTGCTGTAGTTCCTATGATTAGGATGTACGTGCAAGTCTTGCCTTCCCCTCCAAGGCTGAATAAATAAGTGAGGGAAGAGCAGGGAGCATGGAAAGAAGGATGCTTTAACCCCATTTGCCTTGTTACTAGCAACTATCACAAGGCTAAGAGCAAAAGGAATAAGCCGTGAAGCTATTTCTGCAGGCCGTATGCCAGGCGTGAGGCAGGCCATGGGAGCTCCAGATGGCTGCAGGGAGATATGAAAGCAACAGTGGCATTCAGTTTCAAGGGCAGAGGCAAGGAGCACCTGAGCCAGAGCAGGACCCAGATAGATTTGGGAGGGGTTACTTCTCCCCACAAAGCCCCTCAATTCCTGTCTCTCTCACTCTGGCCCTTTTCACATTCTCCACTCCCGGCCTCTCACCCCCTTTGTCTGGAGCTCCCACAGGGCCTTCACCAGGCACCCCATGACAAGTGGGAGTCACAGAAGAGAGCTGCTGGGGACCCCTCTGAGCTCTGCAATCTGCATAAGTCTCGGTCTTCCCATGGCCAGGTCAGAAACTGGGACCCATGGAGCTGAATCCAACAGAACCCAGGTTATAGGATGGTCAACAATCTTTAACGTCAAATAGACCCTTCATGGAAACTGAAAGCAAGTCTTCTTATTAGGTTGACCTATTTCACAAAAAATTCTGTAATCTCATACAAAAAATTATTTTGAAGTTCCCTTGTAGATAGAATCATAATAACTTAGAAACAGAAAAAGTTACTTTCAGCATACAGAACACTAGCTGGTCATAGCTGGCCTGGAGTGACCTGTAACTGCTCCCATGCTGTCAACATCCTTCTTCTATGTCTATGTCAAAAGACCCTGGCCAAAATGTCACCACCATCTTTCTTAAATCTACCTGCCCTCTCCTATTCCCACACCACTGCCCTACTTCAGGACCTCATGCATGGGCTTTAATTCACCCATCAAAGCCATTGGGTCCAGACTCCTAACCACAGTCTGCTCAGATTCCTCTAAACCTCAGACACTTTCAGGAATTCCCAGTAGTTCAGAAAGACAGTTAAGCCTCAAATGCCCTAACCTACTTTCTCAGTCTTGTCTCCCAGCCACATTCTCCTCCTCCTCAGACTGCCACCATGTTGGCCTCCTCTGCCCCGCACCTGACCCCCACCAAATTCGCCTTGTAAACACAACCTCACATAGCAGCTATTTCTAAGCCTGGAAGTCTGTCCCCACCACTCCATGCACCTTACACCTGCTCCTTCAAGTAAGGTTCTTTCCACTGGGACTTTCCCATGACCTGGTCCTTCTGCTTCCAGTGCTCCCACAAGACTTTGGATAAACATGTATTTCACTTAACATATCTACAACCAAACTCCTAATTTTCTTTCCCAAACCTAACCTCCCTCTGACTTTTCCACCTCAATAAATGGAGTTTCTAGCCACCTAATTCTCAAACTGAAAAGCTAGGAAACATCCCAATTCTTTCTCTCCTTGCTGTCTCCAGTCCACTACCTCCAAGATTTAGCCATGCTGACAACTTCTCTCCCTCCCCACGACCTGCAGCCTGCTCCTGAGATCACAGTCACAGCCTCCTGACAGCTCCCTACTTTCACTCTGCGCCCTCTCACCTCCACACAGCAGGCAGAGAGACCATCATCAGATCACACCCCTTCTTTTGTCAAAGGATCCCAATGGCATTTCTTCAATTTTATATAAAATCCAAGTTTCTCGCCTTTTCACAACCCTCAATTGCCATGCCAGTTTCAAATCAGACGAGAATCCCTTTGAGAACAAACCAAAAAAAAAAAAAAAAATCAAACAGCAGCAAGAATGGATTCCTCAGAGATTCCAATTGAATTTGTCTCAGGTAAAAGAAGCCCAGGTATTTTTTTAAAAGTTCCTGCCAGCATTTCTAATGGGAAACCTGGGGTGAGCGCCAACCTCATTTCCACCACTATGCCCCAATGGGTTAGCTTCTTCAAAGATATCAAGGACATTCATGCCTGGGAGCCTTTGAAGAGCTGTCCCCACTGCCCTGTGCAATTGCACATCCTATCTAGCACATCCATAAGATCCATACCTTCATGTCCAGTCAGGATTCATGTAAATACCACCTCCTGAGAGAGGTCTTCTTGGACTACCCAATCAACGTAAGCCACTGGTCACTCCAGGCATCTTATTTTACTTCCCTGCATAGCTCTTACTCTCTAATGCCCCTCGTTTGGGTATTGTCTGTCCCTCCCAGAAGAACCTAAGTTTCAGGAAAGACAAACCCACAGCTGTGTTGTTCATCTCAGTTTCCCAGTGCCTAAGACACAGCCTGGCACACAGCAGGTATTCAGCAACTATTTACTAAATCTTTGAGTGATAAGTCAAGAACCTATCTAAGTCACTTCCATCTGTCATGTTGTGCTGTGCTTTGCACATACAGGATCTTAAGGATTCTATCCCTTTCCGGAATCCCTTACCAATGTGGCCAAACCTTAAGCATATAGACATCCGTTCTGAAAAATACCCTTTCCTATCCCACATTCAAAGGACAGAATTACATATTCTTTTAAAGACTGAAACCCAACTTCGACAAAAGTTCTTAAAGTTGACAAATATCATAAATATTTATCATTTTATCTGACTCAGAGTAAGTAAAAGTAAAATCAAGAACCTAGCAGTGTCCTGTGGCAAAGATAGTGACCTCTCCTGACAGCACAGCACTACTGCCTGCATGCCAAGCTACAACTACCATGTTCCTCCACGTCATGCAAACTTGACTTTAAAATTAAGTCTCTTGACCTGTAATTATGACATTCATGTACATAATCAGATAGAGACAGTTTCTAAATTCAAGGTCTATTAATAGTCAATTTTAGTGAAAATAAGCAGAAAGTTTAAAGGATAAATGAAGATATATTCAAATATTACTTTCTCTAGCCCCAGTTTTTAGGGTTACTAAAGTAGGGGTACGTCTACAGAAACATTAAAAAACATTCATGGCTGACCTACTGTTTAGTGCCCATTTCTAGTTACACTGGAGAGTCATTACCACCACAATGATAGCTTCTACTTTGTTGTGAGCCCAATGGTGAGCCTAAAAAACATGTCCATACCTAAAATATGTCCATACCTAATCTTCAAAACCTGTGAAAATTGTAGTAAGTGGGAAAAGAGGGAAAAGTACCCTGGGATGGGGTTAAGTTATTAGGAAAATGTTAAAAGTTTTCCCTTTGCGATCAGGAATAGTAAAGTTTGCCAAATGCCACCACTTCTTCTTAATTTTGCATTCAAGATCTGAGCCTATGCAATAAGGCAAGAGAAAGAATTAAAAATTATAAGAAATGGAAAATAAAAACCCTGTCATTACTTAATAGTGTATGACTGTATATGTAGAAAATCCAAAAGAAAACACAGATAAAACATTAGAATTAATGAGAGTTTAATAAGGTTGCCAAACACAAAATTCAATGGAGGAAAATCAATCGTATTTCAGTAGTCCAGCACAAAGAACTCAAAGACAATACATGAAAAAGACACCATTTACTATATCATCAAAAATATAAAGCACCTAGAAATAAATGAAAGATGTGCAAAGCCTATAATAGGATAGTGATGCAAACTCATTGAGTTTTCTGAAGTAACTCTGATATGTGCACAGGTCTTAGTCTCAGCAAATGAAAGAACAATCAAACTGGATATAATCACCATCATCTCTTCTCATTCAAACAGATTTTTACAATCTAGCAGTATCTTGATACATAAGAATTCTCACCAGATGGGGGCGATGACGTTGGACCAGAACTCATATTGTCACTACCTGTTTTAACTAAATATTAAAAGAACATTTGAATTTCCATACCAAGTACTGTACTAACTATGAAAAACAAAGAGACTTTAAATGTCCTTAGTTTTATGAGTATATAGAAAAGTCTGTTGGAATATAAGATCTAAACTGGAAATTTCTCTCTCTCTCTCTCTCTCTCATCTATCTATCTATCTATCTATCTATAAACTTCTATTCAGTCAACCCATTCAGAATTAAGTGGTCAAAAACAATAGATACATGTTTATGTCAATTAATCCTTACATTCAAATAATTTGAAATTTCTGCATTTTTTAAGCAATTCCACTGCTGGGGCTACCTTCAAACACAGGTAAAATAGCTTAGCTTCATTCATGGTGATATTTATAAAGAAAAAAAAAACTCTCAAAATTCTCCATTTCCCTGAAAACATGAAAAATCAAGCATTGGTTCCCTTGTCCTAAGACTCTATATCTCATGGAATCCATTATTAAAATGAAAATACATCTGGGACGAGGTAACTCAAAATAGCCACTATCCAGTTTTTGTACTACAACTTCATTTGCCTGACTC